TCTGGGGATCTTGCAATAGTTGTAAGTGTGGATCAACCATAAGTTACTTCTTTAGTGCCATTGTAAGCAGTGGTGGGCTGCTGCCTGATTGGACCGGTTCAGCAAACCAGTAGTTCTGACGATCAACTGGCCCCGCCCACCGACCCCTGCTCTATCCTGTCCTATATTTCCTTCTTTCTGGCTCAGCTGATTCACACGGCACAGCTGATTTCCACGCCTCCACTGTTCTACTTACCATGGCTGCCTTAGAAGGTAAGCAGCTGAGCTTCAAATTGCTGTATTTTGAACACTGCATGAAGTGTGCGTGCGCACGCAAAGTGCATGCTCACAGAACCGGTTGTTAAACCAGTTGCAGCCCACCACTGGTTGTGAGGTTGAATGGTCACTAAACTAATGGTGGTAAGCAGTGGTGGGTTTCAAAATTTTTTACTACTGGTTCTGTGGGTGTGGCTTGGTGGGCGTGGCAGGGGAAGGATACTGTAAAATCTCCATTCCTACCCCACTCCGGGGAAAGGATACTGCAAAATTCCCATTTCCTCCCAATCAGCTGGGACTTGGGAGGCAGAGAATACCTGGGGGTGGAGCCAGTCAGAATTTTTACTACTGGTTATCCGAACTACTCAAAATTTCCACTACCGGTTCTCCAGAACTGGTCAGAACCTGCTGAAACCTACCTCTGGTGGTAAGTCAAAGATTCCTGTATTGCTACTTCTGTCCTTTGTACACACATTTAGCTGTTTTCATTTCTTTCTCATTTTTCAGTCTAGAAAGTCATGTATTAATCTGGGAAATGGAAACCAAAAGTTATATACTGTATGATTGGTTGCTGTGGGTATAAAGGGGAAGCTGCCCTTTTTCTCACCTTTTTCTTCTGTGTGCTCTGTATGCTATTTGACGTTTTTACCTCATGATGTTCCTATGTAGCTGAACTATCCTGTCTGCTGTAAATATAAATGTTAAATATATTTATTTATATAAAACTACAAGTTCGTGTCAATCTCTTTGACTTCATTTGGACACTTGCTGCACAATTCTCTGACATATATAGATCTTCTAAACAGCCCCAATGTACATGACTCTGGGCAGAGCACACGAGTACACCAGTACAAAATTAGTATCTCTTAAGATTCCTTAAAACTTGGCAGCTCAAAATCACAGTAAAAACAATCACCAAAGCAATAAGGGTAGACGTCCACCTATACATGAAAGACTCATTGAAATAAAATCATTTTGAGGACATTCTTGAATACAGTGGATGCCAAATGGAACCAGGGAGCATAATTTATAAGGCAAGGGCCACTAACAAGAGGGCCTGACTCCTGGTCTAAAGCCCCTTTACCTCCCATGAGTGAGAAAATCCAAAAAGTGCCTTCCTCGATGTTCAAACTGGATGGGCAGAATTGTATTGACAAGGTAGTCCCTGATCTCTCCTGGTAGTAAGGCACACTCTATGAAGTTACTATTTGTTTAGCCAGTATTTTGATACTAAGGCTGGGTTTGCATATCTATAGTATCCCATAATAAATAAACAAACCACACACACACACACACACACACACACTTCAATACAAACATTTCACAGGCTTCAGCAGACACTCTGACACCATGCTGAGGACACAGATGTGATTTCAGGATGTGTGGTCAGGACTTTGCAACAGGTTTGCAAGATAATGCCCATTTTGTGTTCTACTAACTGCCAGTAAGCTTGCAGATTCACTCAAAATACAACATTAAGCATTCCAGGTTGCATGGCTGAGATAGGATCATTTTCCAATTGGATTCTACTTCACCCATCCTGTGAAAGAATCTAGAGAAAACTTGCTAAATATGTGGGAGGTGTATGGATTAGAAGGGAGGCCTTCTTGGTGGTTGTCCCATGCTATGGACTACACTTTCCCCATAGTTTTAGATCCCAAAAGCATGATTATTATCTCTTAACACAATATTTTGATTATCTAGAAATACTGATAGATTTCATGCATGTCTGGCCAAACACATGTGTGCACAGGTTTGTGTGTCTGTGTGTGTGATATGAGTTCAAGATCATCCTCACTTTAGCAGGCAGCTTTGAAACAGTCACACTCTCTTACCTCAGTCCCCTCACAGGACTGTTTTTGTGAGGGGAAAATACTATGGTTTATCACACAGTCAGCCAGATGTTTAGACTAGATTAGCTACCCAACTCCCGCAATGCTGAGAAGATGGAATGCTGTATTATATATGCCTGTCTGAGTTCTGGAGCAAATGCAAGCTGTATATCTAATAATTAAAATAACTGCACAGTAATTTAAGGTAGACAACAGACTTGCATCTATTCCTTCTTCAGTGAGGTGACTTTCTGGTTGCTCAGTTACATTAAGCCAGTTTATGACTTCTCTTTGGCATCTGCTAGATTAATTTGATTAAACCTGGTTAATGAGGCAGTATAAATCAGTAATTATTTGTGAAGAGTCATGAGTAACAAGCTACTGCTACATTAATTTGCTTCCATTAAAGGACATGCCATAAAATATGGCTGTTAAAGAACAATGCAGCAAAGTTTGAAACAGGATAGTCCATTGTTTCTCAGTCTTGTCAACTTTAGGACATAATGGGCATCAACTCCCAGAATTCTCCAGCCAGCATACTGACAGGAGATTTTTGGGAGTTGAAATCCACACATCTTAAAGTTGACGAGGTTGAGAAATACTGGGATAGTGTTTTACTGTCATGGATTCACAGAGAGAGGCATCAAACTCTCTTACACTGTTTCTCAACATTGTCAACTTTGTAACATGTCGACTTCAACTCCCAGAATTCTGCTTGGGAATTCCTGGAGTTGAAGTTCACTTGTCTTAAAGTGGCTAAGGTTGAAAAACACTGCTCTACTATCATAGGTGGTATTCAGCCGGTTCAGATCGGTTCACCCGAACTGGTAGCGGAAATTGCATCCACCTGCCCTGGCTCTATGGCATCCTATTTAGTCACGTTTATGAGGCCGGGCACATGCATGGAAGGTGTGTGCACCAGCAAAGCACATGTGCCGGAGGCCGGGCACATGCGTGGATGGAAGGAGCCTGTTGTCTTTCTTCAAGACCCCCAGACCCCAGGTACCACAAGAGAGAAGCGATAGCAACCCTTGCTTTATCCCAGGATGGAGATACAATGTTGATCTCTACTTTAGTTTCCCAATTGGGAGTACCAAATTCAGTGCTTCCATGCTGGTTTCTCAAAACAGATGTTCATCACATATATCTTTTATGATTCAACAATGGTTGCCAATTGTTCAATATTTTTATTTCACTAATCTAAGAATTTGCCCACATAATTTTAATACGTTCATCTTGAACTTATTCAAGCACAGATCTTTTATGACAAGGATGTCAAACTTGTGGCGTCATGTTGCCATCACGTGACATATCGTGACATTTTTTTCCCTTCGTAGAGCTGGGATGAGCGTGACCTGCATGTGACACATCTGGCCCATGGGCTGCCAGTTTGACACCCCTGTTTTATGATAATATTTTTGTAGGCCAGCTGAGCTATTTATTATTCAAGTTCTTTGTAAAAGTATTCAGTTTCATTGTTGTAATGACTGTTGTGTAGAACATAGTATTGGGCAGTGAGCCCAGGTTTATTTCTCCCTTTCTCCAGTTCGTTGTTTGCATAATATGGAAGATTTTGCAATGAATACATTTAGAATGTGTTGTCTAGCAACTATGAAGATGACTCCAGCAATCATTTTTTCCATTTTTGAATTTCTTTTGATGCCATAGTTTCCACACAGGTTGATATGATAGTTGATTTCTCTGAGTTCTTCCATGAAATGGTTTTGGCACATAACTCTAAATGTACTCCGAAGTACATTTGCACTTGTAGGAGAGAATATAGAATTTGACCTGGGGCAGTCCATGAATTTTTCAGCCTTCCACATTTTCCCAGTTGATCTTTTGCTTGTCCTTTGCTTAGCCTTTTGTGGTGGTTGATTAGATCTGGACCTTGCCATGGGGTGTTTTCCATGGCCACCAATTGGAGGAATTGATAAAATACATATTGTGATTTTTGCTCTTAGAAGTTAAATGATTTCAAATAATTGGATTTATAGAATCAATGCCATGAACTAGTGATAACATCTGAAATGTCTTTGGTCATTCCACAAAGGGCTAGGATCGTAAGAGTGTGCCAATAAAAGTCTCATTTTTTCCAGTTGTTTTGTACCACTCCAGCCTGGTGCTCTACAGTGTGTTAGACTCTACAATCGCATCCTTGTTGCAAGGATGGCTGCAGTATTTATTAAATTAGAAGTTATGAGGCTGCCCAATTATTTGGTCATTATATAGAGTAGACCACGCTGATTAGGAAAATGATGGAAATGCATAGGGAGGGTACAGAATCAATAAAGACTATCCTAATAGGACTTTTCATACAACAAATTGATTTGCCTACAATTGATTGTATAAACCCAAATTGGTATGTAGTGTCTACATTTACAAGATAAATGAGGCAAATATTGTGGCTCGCCATGTTGTTAACCAAATCACTTTACTATGTACTATGAGCCTTGGTACTACAGTGGTTTAAAGCACCCTGTTATTAACACAGCTGCCTGCAATTTACTGCTGGTTCGAATCTCTCCAAGGCTCAAGGTTGACTCAGCCTTCCATCCTTTCTAAGGTAGGTTAAATGAGGACCCAGTTTGTGGGGGCAATAAGCTGACTTTGTATAAATATACAAAAGTATGAAGGCTATTGCTTAACGCACTGTAAGCCGCCCTGAGTCTCTGGAGAAGGGCGGCATATAAATCAAATTTAAAAAATAAAAAAAAAAAAAAAAAAACTATTAACTATTTTTAAAATGGTGACTTAACGAAATGTGTGGACACAATCTACATTTAAAGATTCTTGACAGGGCTGCTCTTCTCATACATGGTTCAGATAATCAAGTGAAGTCATTTATAGGAGAGCTATGTTAGTCCATGGCAGCCAAAAGGCACTCCATTTACATGTGATGAAATGAGCTGTTACCTCGCAGAATCTTACGCCGTTTAATACAATTTATTACGGTAGTCAGGGAAGCCGCTACCAGATGGGAGTTAAGTGACTAAACCATAAGCCATTGAAGCCACACGCTTTGGAAGCAGAAGGTCGAGCGAAAAACGGCCTCCGAAAGGTGACCTCACTGGACAAGGCCACCCCTCCCAGGCTGCCCACGAGACCAGGAAGAACGAAAAAGGGGAGTTTGCGGACGGTCCCTGAGAGGTGGCCGGGCGAGACCGAGGGAGCGCGTCCAGAGCAGGTCCGCTTTTGACGCTCCGAAAAACGGGATTTTGCAGAGAGCCCCTGAAGGCCCCGCTTTCCCCGCCCTCGACGGCTCCTCCCCCTCCGTTTGCCGGTGCTTCGAGCCTCGGGAGCGGCCAGGAGGAGGCTATAAGAGAGACCGGAGGGGCTCGTCGGGCGGCGCTGCTGGCCGACTCTTCACTCATGCAGCGCCGTCGCCGAAGGGGGGGAGCCGCGCCGAAGCACCGAGGGAGCAAGTGAGGCAAGGAGGAAGGACCCCCCCCCGCTGCTACACCTCCTCCTCCTCCTCCTTCCACACCGCCGCCGCTCCCGAGTCAGCCGTCCCCTCAGTTACCGCCGCCATCCGCCTCCCTCCTCTTTCTACTCCTCGCCTCAGTCGGCTCGCCTGGAAGCGAGGCGAGGAGGGGGCGGACCATGCGGTGGAAGCGGAGCCCTTGGAGGCCCTGGCGGCTTCCCCGGCGGTCGTTGCTGGCCGCGCTCTTCTTTTTCTCGCTCTCCTCTTCGTTCCTCTACTTCGTCTATGTGGCTCCCGGCATTGGTAAGGGTCGCGCGGCGCGTTTGGGGGAAAAAAAAAAAAAAAGCGGCTCCGGGTGGGCGAGGGAGGGGCGGCGCGCCCGGGAGGGAGACGCGCTTCCCCGCCCGGCCTTGCTTGTGAGAAAGAACGGCGGGAGAGAGAGAGAGAGAGAACGCCGGGCAGCTGAGGGCGGAGGGGGGTCTTTTTGAGGGGAGATGGGGGGGGCGCGCGATTTTGGCGCGCGTGCGCCCTCCGCGAGCGAGCGAGGGGGGGGGCGTGAGAGGAGTCTAACGGTAGCGCAGGAAAGGGGAGGGTACTGAGCGCCGCCTGAGGTGGTGAGGGGCACCTCGCCAGATTCAGGCCGCCGCTGCCGCTATTGCAGCGCACGGGGGAAAGCGGCCGTGTTGCCCACCCATTTCTCTGCCTCCCGCCCGCTCTAGTTGCCGCAGCCAGGGGTAGGGGCTTCGGTGCCTGAGGTGTCTCTTGCCTCTCTCTCCCAAAATTTCACCAACGGGTGTCGATGAAGCGCGCACTTTTCTCTTCCCCCCCCCCCAAAAAAAACACTTTTCCCCCCCCCCCCCCCCGGAGTAGTTATTGGCGGCATGGACTCCTGGAGGCTGCGCTCCCGGGCCGCGTTTCCTTTTTGCAGCCCACGAGAATTCCTGGTTCTGAGCCTCAAAAGCGAGAGTTTTCGTAAGGTTGCAAAAAGGAATATACTTTGCTCGCTGAAGCGCCTTTCCTGTTAATTTGGACATTGTATGTGTATGTATGTATGTATGTGTGTGTATGTATGTATGTATACATGTCTAATCCATAATACAGTCGTGATATTTTGTTTTTTTTTAAATTTCGTTGAATACATGTCAGGTCTTTTTTTTTAAAGTATATTTTGGTGTGTGGGAGACATTTTGTCATTTAGTCTCTCTTATCTCTCTTACTTTTTATACATGGTGGTGAACATATCTAATACTCGTATCCCCTATTTTCCCCGACAACCCTATGAGGTGGGTTGGGCTGAGATAGAGTGACTGGACTAAAGTTACCCAGCCAGATCAGTATCAAACATTTCCCTGAGATCAGCAGAAGCGGTTTTTTCTTCTCCCTTCTCTCCTTAATACTGAATTCTTTTTACATTACTATCCTCTGGCTTATTTAATTTTGCTCCTGCTCTTTTTATCTTTGACCTTGATTAATTCAGCAGTTTATTCCCTTACAATTCTACATACAAAAGGATGTAGAACTGGGAAATTGAATTGGGAAGGTCAATTTAAAAAGTATGTTTGTATTCCCCCATTTTTTTTTCTTTTACATGGAAATATTTGCTTGATATATATTTTCAGCTCATTTTACAGTAGTAGGTAGACTATAAAAACCCAGGAGATATAGAAACCTTTACATTGACTGCAGGTTGTGATCAGAGTTGGGTCAAGTGATGATGGTTAAAGTGATTTAAAAAACCAGTAATGCTGACTGCTATTTTCTCCCTTCTCCTTTTGCTCATATTATCAAGTGTCAGTATTCTGCAAATAGTCAATTGTTAGCTTTTGGTTAATAAAGGCGTTCTACTAATCTTCAGATATTTCTTGCAAATAAGTTATGTTCATGCTAAAATGATTTACAGTTTCTTTAACAGATCATGCTTTTCGGGCTGCTTATTTTTTTTGTGAGATTTTGAGAAGTTTCTCATTGCTCTCTGGTGTTCATGCATATTTTTATGTGGCTTAAAATTACAGAATTCAATCTTAAATTGGTCACGTTTTACTCGAAATGACAACTTTATTCAGTGCCAAAATAATTTCCTAGAGATGAGTAGTAGGCAACAATAATGGCTTAGAAGTATAGTATTCCTATGCAGATTAAATTTGGTCTTGATCCAGTAAAATACTAGTAGTTGTCTATCTACATCTCTCTGTACTATAAGGTTGCTTTCCTAGTGTGGGTGCCCTGTAGATGTCCTAGACTATTCATCCCTTTAAGTCATATTGAGTGAGGAATGAGCAACTGAACAAGGAATCAGAAAATTGGTATAATAATAATAATAATAATAATAATAATAATAATAATAATAATAATTTTTTAATTTATTTTAATTTATTTTTAAATTTGATTTATATGCCGCCCTTCTCCGGAGATTCAGGGCGGTTTACAATGCATTAAGCAATAGCCTTCATACTTTTGTATATTTATACAAAGTCAGTTTATTGCCCCCACAAACTGGGTCCTCAATTTACCTACCTTAGAAAGGATGGAAGGCTGAGTCAACCTTGAGCCTGGTGAGATTTGAACTTACAGTAATTGCAGACAGCTGGTGTTAATCACAATGCTATCAGTCTGCTGAGCCACCAGGCCCTTGAATTTTATTTCTATACCGCCCTTCTCCCAGAGGACTCAGGGCGGTGTACAGCCTATTAAAAGCACAAAGATATAAGAACTGCCTGATACAATAAATTGCTTTTATATCAGGAAACAGTTTATAAATAACAATTTTCCTGGTAGTATGAATCCTATTTATACGATGCAACATTTAAATTTAATTTAGTTTTTATTGGTATTTTAGAATAGAGCATCAAATCTAATCATTTAAAGTCACCTCTGATGTAGTGGATTTTTTCAATGTCACAAAAGACAGCCTGATAATATTTGCTTTCTTAATTGATTACTTTTGGTGAACAGTAGTGTTAATTAATCTTAATTGATTACTTTTGGTATAACAGCAGTGTTACACAAAAACAACTGTTGCTCAAGACAATGGTGTATAACCCGTCTATCTTGTATTTTATAGAACACAATATCCAACAAACAAAACTTTGCAGAAAGTTTAATAAGCTTGAATGTTATTTTTTATTTTTTTTCAGTCTGCATTGACTGCATAATAAATATAAGATACTGGATTGTGTTAACTATGAACAATTTAGAATTACTTATTTGTTAGACTTAGAGCTTTCCTTTGTGGTGAAAAATAAGTTCTAAAATAGTTAAAAACAAAATGAATTAATAATAAAGAATTCATAAACAAGTGCATAACTGCAATAGAACAAATATATTTCACAGAGAGGCACCTCCCAAATCTATGTTGATTTTCAATTTGCTTATAAGTTTCTTCCTGGAGAAAAGGCATGTTCTCATATTTGAATTACAGTGGCCTCTGAATGCAATTTTTTATAACTTTGTTATATGAGAGCTGCTGTAGAGATAAAAGTGTCCTTGGACTTGCAAAGCCAAGCCTATTTGTACTGTAATAATACTTTCCTAAACAGAATCTTTACATAATTATTTCTTAAATTTCCTTTTTGTCCTATGTAGGAGACTTTTGGATGTTTTGCTGCCTATGATTTTAGATGGAAAATTTAATAACATGCTATTGTTAGAACTTGTGCCACTATTTTGACTGATTGAGGTAGTATAAGATATTCAGATGTGGTGCCTTTTTAGCAATCCTTTCAATCTGAACTGATAAGACTCTTTTATTAACTATTTGGGTCAGATAGCATAGGAGTACACTTTATTATTGCTCTTAGATTGGTGTATAGAAATATCTCTGTCAAAATTTGACAATTTTGTTTGTAATTGTCATAAAAAGACTAAGATTAATACTGGAAATACCTGCTGAGTAATTTATTGCTGTTTGGAGAGTTTGTGATACATTTAGTTAATCCTTTAGTTTATTTTTTAATTTTTTTCGTTAAGTCTCCCTTTTTTTAGTTAACTACTATATTCAACATTTTTTATCTTTGACCATCATTTAATTTATTCACACATACAAACACACACACACACAATCTCTAAAAACTTTAACAGCACTGCTAAAGTGATTTAGAAGGACCAGTGAAAAGGAATTATTCCAAAGGCAATTAACCATGAAAAGGCAGGACTATCAACAAGATCTGTTGCTGGCTGAAATTCTTGTCCTTTTTATGTTATCATTTTAACACAAGGGAACATTATGGAATAAGGCTACAATCCTATAAATATTTTTATGATTTTTTATATCTGAGCCATGGTAATCTGATGGTTGTCTGGAATATGGGTTATTGATATGGAACTGAACCTAGTCTGATTACCCAAGTTCTGGGAGGTAAGGATAAGAATTACACGTATCCTTACACATGCCTCCAGCCAATTCAAGCAGTGTACTGGATCTCTTGTGTGTCTAGAGATAAAGTCTACCTCTTTTTGGAAGTCACAGTACACCTTAGCGACAATAGTGATCATCAACCTGTAAGGGTGACATTGCGAGGCTGCTCAGATTTAAGACCATATAACATGGCTGACAAATGGCTCACCAAAAAAGGTAGAGGTGACCCAAAATAAAAGGTTAATTCAGGCCAAAGTGGATTCTAAGGCAATATTAGACTGCCTTAAAACAGAATGCTACCAAATGAGCTAGAACAATCCAGTCATCTACTACTGAGTGGCTGTCAGCCTTCAATGCATTCGCTAATCTCTGTAATATTCTGAAGAAACACCTAACAACTAAGCCTGCTACAAAAAGCCTGAGTGGGTAGACCCCATTGGTTTGATCCTGAATTCCAGCGACTGAAAAAGAAATTGAAGGCAGCCATGAGGCTCACCCAGAGGAACCCTATTGCTCATATACAAGCTGAGATGTTGCACACAAGAAAGGAATATAAAAAAATTATAACATTAAAGGAAAAAAAGTTTTGCTATTTCAATCTGATCAGAACTTGAGTTGGCTGCCAGAAGTCATAACTCAGTAATATTTTGGTACTCTGTAGCAGGTGTCCTGAAAAAACAGAGATTTGCTTTTGACATACCAATCTGCTGAGGACTGGGAGAATTATCAGTGTTTGTTTGCTTCCACAGAACCTGCAGAGAAACTGTCTTTAAGCAGTGATTTAGTAAACCCTACAACTCTCCCCCCACCACCACCTTGGCCACCAGTTTTGGAAAAGGAGATACAATCCATCATTAAAAGCTTAAAGAGCAATAAAGCCCCAGGTGAGGATTTTTTACCAGCAGAATTATTCAAGAAATTTCCCAATTGGTGGGGCCCAGTATTGGCA